AACTATCACAGTCATCCAAAAGTCGGGAGACCCCATAATCCCAGGCAGTTGCCGACCGATTGCCATTATACCATTGCTTTGCAAGCTGTTGTCTCGTCTCTTTTGTAAGGGGCGAGGCGCTTTGTTTGACTTGCAGCCGTGCCCTGACCAAGCAGGTTTACGCAGAAACGATTGTACGGAAGATTACCTGTTCACCACGACAATGTTGCACGAAACGTCGTATGAGTGACAATTTCCGTTGTGGGCAGCAGCACTAGACGTCAGGAAAGTTTCCGACAGCGTTGATTATGAATCTTTGTGCGCTTTACTACAGCAGTATGTCCCGCCCGCCTACACCAACTTCATGTGGCAGCTGTGCCGCGACCAAGCGGGAACAATTAAGACGGTCACCAGTAGCAGACTTTTCAGCATCGGGCGGGGCGTAAAGCAGGGAGACCCACTCAGCTCCTTCCTCTTCAACGCCGTCCTCGAGCACGTGTTCAGACGAATGAATACTACTTGGTTGCGAAAAAAGTTTGGGATCCAACCATCGCGGACGGGCATTACAAGCCTGCGCTTCGCTGACGGTGTGCTGCTTTTTGCCCCCAATTTGCGCAAACTCATTATTTGATTCGAGACGTCAGCGACGAAGCAGCACAGTGTGGTTCATGATTGCATCCAGACAATGCGAAAATTCTGGCAAATGTTAGCCGGAGGGATGGGAGGACATTCGATCATGTTATCATTGACGGCGGACGGGTCGACATTTTGCGGTCTGACCAAAGCACACAATAGTTGGGGAGAAAGTCGACGTTCTACAATTTCCATGACGCAGAACTACGCAACATAATCGCAGCTGGGTGGGGCCGCTTCAACCAACAGATATACGAGTTGACAAGCAAACGCTTCCCAGTACACAGCAGGATTTCAATGGCACGGTCACGCCGTCAGTGATGTACGAGTCCTCCTCGTGGACCCTTACCAAAGAGATGCTGCTCACCCTGCGGCGCGTTCAACCAAAAATGCTTAGACTCATCGTGGGCGTGCCGCAACGTCGCAACGTATGCCACCAGGACGCTCACGGCGGACGTGGGAACAACCAGACTATGACCGACAGCGTGACAACTAATGGCGAGGACCCATCACGCAGCACGGTGGACGACGCATGGCAAGACGGAGTGGAACCGTGGGCAGAATACATGCGCTGGGCAACGCGGACAGCCACAGAGTATTCCAAGCGCTCACGTGTAGCATCATGGGCCACGATCTACTCCACACGGAAATGGAGATGGGTTTCGCGAGTTGCGACTCACGACCGCGGCACGTGGTTTTTCTTACCTAGCAAGTGGGAACCAAGCTGCCACGACCGTCGATCGGAACACTGACGTCATGGAGGCCAACAGAAGCGCTGGGACGACGACATAACCCAATTCCTCCGCACCACAGGCACGACACAACACAACGACGCCCATAACGACAGCGGACAGTGGTTATCAATCGCAGCAAACTGGTGCTCGTGGGAGGCTTTGGAAGATAAGTTCTTGGCCTGCACAAGCGGGCTTCTACGGCTTGGGACGACATCTTCTTGCATCAATGCTTCAATGCCGTCTACTATGACATGCCTCCGGCGTCTTCGACTCCCGCTCCCATGCCACCGACGCCAGCACTCGTCTCTGCCCCTTTCTGCGATCCAGCTTTCTAAGACCCGGCTCCAGCATCTGAGCGGGGATGTGTGCTTCTCGGCGCCAGGCGTCGGCCGCCGGCCGCGCCTCTTTTGCGCTGCTGCTGCTGCTTTTGCTTCTCCTCTTGCTCTCCCCCCCCTTGCTGCTCTCCTCTCTCCTCCTTAGCCACGGGGCGACCTTCTCGCGCAGGTAAAAAGTGCTTCTCGGCGCTCTGGTGCCGCCGCCAGGCTCTCGTGGGGCCGCCCCCCCCCCCCCCTCTCCTCCCCGGGGCGACGCGCGGGCGCCTCGCCCCGCCTCGGCTCGCTGTCCGACGGTGGCCCCCCGCTCCGCCCCCGCCTCCGTCCCCCCTTCTCCCGACCGACCGTGCCGACCCCATATGTTACTTCCGTGGACCGCCTCCTTCCGCTCCGACCGACCGTGCCCCTTCCCCCTCCCCGCTGCCCGACGGCGGCCCCCCGCTCCGCCCCCCGCCCCCCTTTCGTCATGCCGATCGACGGTGCCCCCTCTGTTGCTGGACGGTGGCCCCCCGTTCCCCCCTCGCCCCTTCCTTTTTTTCTCAGGCCGACGGTGCCCTCCCCGCACCCTCCGCCCTGTGCCCGCCCTATCGCTTCATTCCGACCGACCGTGCCCCCCCTGTTCCCATGGCCCTTTTGATCCCAACCGACCGTGCACCCCCCCCCCGCTGCCAGACCGGCCCCCGTTCCCCTCCTTCCCCCGCCCGTGTCCCTTGATTCCGACCGACTGTGCACCCCCGTCCTCCACGCGGCCTCGTTTTGGATTCCGGCCGACCGTGCCCCCACCCCCCGTCCTGCTGCCCGACCGCGCATCCCCCCCCCTGCCCGACCGTGGCCTCCCTTCCCCCGTGGCCCCCTTCCCCTTATCCATCGCTTCGCTTCTTCCGCCGGCCCTGGAACGCCATTTGGGGCGTCTCGGGGCCGTCTTGGGGGTTTCTTGGGGGCTTCTTGGGAGCGTCTTGGGGTTCAGTGGCGGCGTATTGGGCTCCCCTGGGGCCTCTTGGGGGGCTCCTGGGGGCTCCTTGGGGCGGGGGGGGGTAGTCGATTGCAGCCCCCCCCTCGGAGGCCACGATCCTCGTGAGCGGTGGCGAAAAATAGCCCCCCCCCTGGGGATCGCCCGGGACCCGGGCGGGGATCAGGCGGGGTACTTTTCGTTTGGGGCCCCCCAGTGGTCGCCCCGCGCGCGCGAACTAGAAATCTTGTTAAGTAGTCACGCCTCTGGCCCGTTGGGCCGGCGAATTCCGACCGATCGTGCCCCCCCGCCCCCCCGTGGCCCCCTTCCTTTTTTCCGACCGACCGTGCCCCCCCCACTCGTCCGTGCGGTCCCGCTCCCCCCCCCCGCCAGCATCCTTTTAGTCCGACCGACCGTGCCCCCCCCCTTCCCCCCCTCTGCTCTGTCGTTCTGGTCACTCGCTGGCCTGTCGCAGCATTCGCGCGCTTCTTCAAAATTACCAGAGTTCGGCGCCGTCGCCATCCCCCAATTGTCCCGCACCGTGATAGTATGGTCCTTGCCACGCGTGCCTATTGTTCTGTCGGGGTCTTAGTAGGGGCGCCAACGAAGCGCAGTTTGCGAAACGATTGTGGCCTCGAGGGCGCGAATCTGGATACTGTACGAGGGGACGTCGCCTCGGTGACGCACTTATTTCATACTCTACCATGGTTTATGGCCTCGAGGACGCGAAACTTGCGTATCTTATAAGGGAGTGTGGGTTCGAGGGCGCAAGCACGGCGTAAGTTAAGAGGAATCGTGGCCTCGGGGACGGTGAAGTTGAGTCATTTCTGGGGGGGGCATGGCTTCGGTGACGCAGGTACGGGTTGGATGACGTGCACATTGCGCAGAGTACGACGTATCGTGGCTTCGGGGCGCGCATGTTGATCAGTGTTTGTGGAATCGTGGCCCCGGGAACGCGAATACTGTATACATTGCGAAGGCTTATGTGTTCGAGGGCGCAAATGCGGCATGCTTTACTAGGGGTCGTGGCTTCGGGGGCGCGGATATTGAGCAATTTACGGGGATCGTGGCACCGGGACTATGGCGTAATGTATACTTTAGGCGATGCTCAAGAAAACTTAAATTTTCGGCCAGAGTCTCGATTATTCTTAATGTTTCAATGTAAATCCTAAGATTTGAATGGGAATGTTGGGTTTTTATTCAAGTTCTGGGACTATGAATTTCTTAACCCATGATTTCTTAAGCACTTCGCAGGGTGTAATGTATCAGGGTTTCTGGTTTCAGACATGCGAGCCTTCTATGTGCTTTTATGTGCCCCACGGCTCTGCAGGAATTCGGGCAACGCGCTTCGGACGTGGTAGATCGGATCCCTTGAGCCCCCACCCTCGCGCGAACTTCAGCCGTTTGCAGTAAGACATCGACAGTATAACTATGGTGTAATGTATCAGGGTTTCTGGTTTCCGAAATGCGAGCCTCCTATATGCTTTTATGTGCCCCACGGCTCCGCAGGAATTCTGGCAGCGCGCTTCGGACGTGGTAGATCGGATCCCTTGGGCCCCCACCCTCGCGCGAACTTCAGCCGTTTGCAGCAAGACATCGACAGTATAACTATGGTGTACTGTATCAGGGTTTTTGGTTTCAGAAATGCGAGCCTTCTATATGTTTTTATGTGCCCCACGGCTCCGCAGGAATTCTGGCAGCGCGCTTCGGACGTGGTAGATCGGATCCCTTGAGCCCCCACCCTCGCGCGAACTTCAGCCGTTTGCAGTAAGACATCGACAGTATAACTATGGTGTACTGTATCAGGGTTTCTGGTTTCCGAAATGCGAGCCTCCTATATGCTTTTATGTGCCCCACGGCTCCGCAGGAATTCTGGCAGCGCGCTTCGGACGTGGTAGATCGGATCTCTTGGGCCCCCACCCTCGCGCGAGCTTCAGCCGTTGGCAGTAAGGCATCGACAGCATGACTAGAACATGCGAGACTTGTAACTGGCACTGGCGCGGGGAACAGCAAGCCCGATGCTCGCAGCCCGATGGTCCTTGGCCCCACCCTCGCGCGAACTTCAACCGTCTACAATAAGACATAGCCAGTATAACTGTAACATGCGAGAGTTGAAGCTGGCGCTGGCGCGGGGAGCAGCAAGCCTGATGCTCGCAGCCCGATGGTCCTGCAAGGGGGGCCGCAGAATTTCTGGGCGGGATTCTAGTTGCTCCTCCTCCTGATACAGCCCCTCCTCCTCCTCCTCCTCCTCCTCCTCCTCCTCCTCCTCCTCCTGCTTCTCCTCCTCCTCCTCCTCCTCCTCCTCCTCCTTCTCCTCCTGCTCCGCGGCGTCACTGCTGCTGCTCCTCCTGCGCCGCCCCCTCCCTCCGACAGGACTCGGGGCTCCTCGAGGGGCTCCTCGCCGAGCACTCCTACCAGGCCGTGCAGCGCCTGTGCCGGCACCTCTGCGACCTGCGCCAGCAGGTTGGTGGTCTCCAAACCAGGTGGTGAGACACCCGGTGGTGACCCCGATTCCCCCAAAAAATAATTCTTGGTCACCACTGGGTTTGGGGACACGCGGTCGCCACGAGGTTTTGCGTTTCCTGGGCCAGCCAGCGCTCGAAAACCATTACCCAAATCGCCCAAAACTCACCACCGGGTGTTCTCACCACCACGTTTGGGGACCACCAAGCAGGGGATCGCCGCAGCGCCGCCCGAGGCGGAGGTCGACGCCGCCTGGCGCACCGCGGCGCGGAGCGCGCGGGAGTACGAGCAGGTCTGCCTGACGTGCTTCGGAGCCCTGGTCCACCGCTCCACGGTGCCGCCGGCCCCTCCTCCTGAGGCCAAGTGAGCCCGGAGGCCTCGCCGTGCAGTCCTCAGCAACAAAAAGAGCCCCCAGCCTATAGATCGCGATCAGGACGTGGCCTCACCGAGGCCCCCGCTTCTGCGTTGGGGACAAGAGATCTGGGCAGGACGGGCCCCCTTATCCCCAATGTGTTTGGGCCTCCTAACTTGGGTCTCCTCCCACAGAGTTATGGCTACTTTTGTTGCTGAACATCCAGGCTTCCCGCCTCCCTTTTGCTCCCACTTACTTCCTCCCCAATTCCTCCGACGCCGCCGAGGGGCCAGGCCGCGACGGACCCGCGCTCTGCGGCAGTTGGCCGCGCTCGCGAGGATCGGCCGCGCCAAGGCTTGCGCCCTGGGCGTGGCCATGCTTCTCCGACGGTGTGTGGCGACTACGTCTAGTCGGGTCTTTCGGCCGCCTTGGGCGTGGGCCCGGGTCGGAGTCACAGGGGACAGCCCTGATCTTGATTTGTACGTCGTTTCGGAGGAGGGAAAGGTACCCACACCGCTACCCTTGCTCCGTTTTCCCCGTTTGGGGCCTCCCAGGAGGCCCTCGTCGCCACCGCTGGATTCGCCTCGACATTCTCGTCAGAACGCACCCTGGGAGAGGTCCGGGGAGTAGCGGTATCGGTACCTCGTGGTTCCCCCATCTTTAGGTACGCCAGATTTCGTAATGAAGGGAGGGGGGTCTCATTTCGGGGGGGGGTCTCTTCCAGGCTATCTTGGAGGGCCTGGGGGGTCTGGGGACGATGTTTGGGAGGGTTCTCCCACGGGGGAGGTCTGAAATTGCTTGTCTTGGAGGGTCCAGCCCCCTCCCTTTTATTACGAAATCTGGAGTAGTTCCAGTGTTGATGGGCACGGTGATGGCGTCGATGATCCAGAAGAAGGGAGGCCCCTAGCAATCCGCTCCACATGTTTGGTCGAGAGGCTTGCGCCAGTCCACCGACACCCAGAAAAGGTATGTGTGGCTTCCGATTTCGTGTGTGTGTGTGTTGTTTGCCACTTCCCGTTGTGCTGCCGGTGTGGTTTTCAGAATCGTCCGCATCTGTGGTGGGGCAATTTAAGGCAAATCAGTGGTGTGTGTGTGTGTGTGTGTCCCTCTTGAGACTCTCTTGGGGGTCAGCCTGGGGCCATCATTCGGCGTCCTGGGCTGTCGTCGGGCCACCTTGGGTGTTTGGGAGGCCCGTCCGGCGTCTGAGAGCCCCGTGGGAGCCATCCTGGGAAGGATGGTTTGGCAGATGGGCTGCTACCGAGGGTTGACTCTGAGGCTCCGAGGACCCCGGGGGCGCGTTGGAGCTCGCCCCGCCCCCCCCCTTCCCTCCCTCCCCCCTCTAACGGGATTTCGGATCTCTGGGTCCCAGGGGAGGGGGAAAGAGACAGGGACAACAGCCAATCCTCTCCACACTCCTTCCCCCCCTCCCGGCAAGCGGAGGTCTGTAGATCTGTCTGAGTCGTTGCTTTTCCAACTCTCCTGCGTGTGTCTTCTCTTCGGTGGTTTCATCAACTTCGCGATCTCAGTCTCTCTCTCTCTCTCTCTCTCCTTCTCTCTTTCTTTATTTCTTTATTTCTTTATTTCTTTATTTCTTTATTTCTTTATTTCTTTCTCTCTTTCTTTATTTCTGTCTTTATTTCTTTATTTCTTTATTTCTTTATTTCTTTCTTTATTTCTTTCTTTCTTTATTTCTTTTTTTCTTTATTTCTTTCTTTCTTTCTTATATAATTATGTTCTCTCGCTCTCGTTATATATATATATATATATATATATATATGTATGTCTAGCCTGGGGGGATCTCTCTTTTGCGACACCCGTGCTATCTGCCGTCTCTCCTCCGCTCTCTGCTGAAGGCGCGGCGGTGCTGCCAGAGTCGGCGGTGCCGGAGTCGGCGGCTCTGCTGGGGTCAGCGAGACGAGTCGGTGGTGCTGCTGGAGTCGGCGGTGCTGGAAGTTCGGCGGCTCTGCTGGGGTCGGCGAGGCTGCCAGAGTCAGTGGTGCTGATGGAGTCGTTGGCGTTGCTGGGGTCGGCGGCGCCGCTGGAGTCTGTGGCGCTGGAGTCGGCGGCGCTGCTGCTGAAGTCGGTGGCGCTGCTGAAGTCGGTGGTTCTGATAAGCTCCGTGGTGCTGCTAGAGTCAGTGGTGCTGGTGGACTCGGCGGCGCTGGTGCCAAAGTCGGCGGTGCTGCTGGAGTTGGTGGTGCTGCTACGGTCGGTGGTGCTGCTGGAGGCGGTAGTGCTGGAGCAGGTGGCGCTGATGCCAGAGTCTTTGATGTTGGTCTCGGTGGTGCTGCTGAGGACTGTGGTTCAGGTGGAGACTGTGCTGCCGCTGCCGCTGCCGATCGAGTCGGTGGCGCTGCCGCTCGAGTCGGTGGCGCTGCTGCTGTTGGGGCTCGGCAGTGCTTCTGTCGGAGTCGGTGGTGCTGCTTTAGCCTGTGGTGCTGCAGGGCCCGGTGGTGTTGCTGCGGTTAGTGGTGCTGATGGAGTCGGCGTCGCTGAGGTCAGTGGTGCTGCTGGGGTCGGAGGTGGAGCTGGAGTCGGTGGCGCTTCTGTCGGAGTCGGTGGTGCTGCTTGAGTTTGTGGTGCTGCTGGAATCGGTGGTGCTCCTGCAGTCGGTGGTGCTGCTGGAGTCATCGATGTTGATGCCGGTGTCGGTGGTGCTACCAGAGTCGGAGGTGCTACTTTGCATAAGTCGTTGTTATGGCTGTCGTAGTTGTCGTGTTAGCCACCGTGGTGTCCTTCCTTGCGCAGGTCGGTGTCGTGGCTGTCGTGGTTGTCATTGTAGCCGCCGTGGCGTGCCTCCTCGAAGAAGTCGCTGTTGCGGTTGTCGTGGATTCCGTTGTGGCCGCCGTGGTGCGTTTGCACATGCGAGTCGTTGCCGTGGTCGTTGTGGGTGTCGTGGTGTCCGCTGTGGTGTGCTTGCACGTGAGAGACTCTGACGCAGCTGTCGTGGCCGTCGTGGCAGCCGTGGTGTGCTTGAATTGAGGAGGTGCCGTCGTGGTTGTCGTGGTGGTCGCCGTATTGTGCGTGTCTGCTGTAGCTGTGGTGGTTGCTGTCGTGGTGGTTGGTGGTTGTCGTTGTGATTATCGTGGCGCTTCGTGGTTGCTGTAGTGGCTGTCGTGTGGCTCGGTGGCAGTCGTGGTGTCGATCTTTGTGCCTGTCGTGATGACTATCGTGGTGGTAATCGTAGTGGTTGTTGTGGTGGCTGTCGTGTAGCTTGTGTGCTTGTCGGTAGTCCGCTGGTCGTGAGTTTGCTTTACGGTGGTCTGCTGGCGTGGGTGGATCGCGGGCTGGGTCGTCGGATAGAGGGTGCTGTCCGTCGCTGGCCGCGTGGGAAGGCTGGCTTCTGTGCCGTCGTGAAGGCTGGTGCGGGTGTCTGTGCAGCTGTAGGTGCTGGTGCCGATGCTGGTGTCTGTGCTGGTGTGGGCGCTTTGCTGGCCAGAGGTCTGTAGCCTGCTGGTTGGTGGTCGTGTATGTCGTGTGTGTCGTAAGAGGCAGTGTCGGTGTCATCATGGAAGCCGCCTGAAGCCCGTGACGGCGGAGGCGGCACCGCAAGAATGCATGGCGCACCATGCGTTGGAGGGGGCGGCACAAGCCAGGCTGGCGGCATACTTGGTAGGTAGGGTGGGAGTTGGAGTCGGCCGTCAGTGGGTCTGTTTGTCATTAATTGGTGGTCTGCTGCTCGGTGTGCTGTGGCCTGCCGGTCAGTGGGTCTGCCGGTCAGTCGGCAGTCGGTGGGTCTGCAAGTCGGTGGGTCTGCCAGTCGGTGGTGTGCTGCTGTGTTGTGTGCTGCTTAGTCTGCTGGTCTGCTGGTCGGTGGGTGGCCAGCTGGTCTGATGGATAGCTTGCTGAACGGGCCGCTGGCTGGTCAGTCTGCTGGTTAGTAGTGGAGTGCCATTCCAATCAGTGTCGCCATATTTTGAAGAGAATCGAGAAACATGTTTAATGTGTTCGCTATCCTTTTTGCTGTCAATATCGATGCAAGGGATACTTAGTCCCAAATCCGTGACGGATACGTCTCATGGAGTGCCTTGGCCTTTCGGCCTTCTTCAAGCCACGTCTGACGCTGTCGATAAGAGCAATACCTGCGGTCCATACAGGTTTCAGGGGATGTGGGAGAAAGTGAGAGGCAGCGAGACACCTGGGAACGAGGATGTACTACGTGAGATCGTGCGTTGGGGAGTACCACGTCGCGGTTGCCCACCTGCGGGCGACGCGCATAGCCCCAGGCCCGCTCGGGCCCGCGGCTCTTGAGCCAAAATGGCTGCGGACGCCCCCTCCTCCTCCTCCTCCTCCTCCTCCTCCTCCTCCTCCTCCTCCTCCTCCTCCTCCTCCTCCTCCAGATCTGGCAAATCGGCCTGCCCGCCCAGGTGGCCTGGAGCGAGCAGCACGCCTGGGGCAAGGCCAGGGTGGACGGGCAGTTCACAGTGGAGCAGGATCCCGAACTCGCAGCGGGCGTGGCAGAAGCGGTGCCCCAGTCCTCGTTCTCGTCCCCTCTTCTGTTCCTTCCTTGTTCTGTCGCTTCTGCCTCCCTGTCTTGTGTTTTCTTCCGCCTCGCAGGAGCAGGAGGAGAAGGAGGGGGAGGAGGAGGAGCAGCAGGAGCAGGAGCAGGAGCAGGAGCAGGAGCAGGAGGAGAAGGAGGAGGAGGAGGAAGAGGAGCAGGAGCAGGAGCAGGAGCAGGAGAGAGTCGGCGCACACCGTGGGCCAGAAGGCCCGAGGATGTGGCGCCGCACGGTTTGTGTTCAGTCCGGGCTTGGCGTCGCTCGGACGTGTGCATTTTTTCTCGGCGAGGAGCATCGGGGAGCATCCTTGATCAGTTGGCGAAAAGTACCACGCACGAAACCGAAACAAGCACAGGGAATGGACGTCCGAGCGATGGCCAGGGGGTGAGAGAGAGAGAGAGGGAGGGACGTTCCTCCGATCGGCCTGCCCAGGCCGCCCTGCCACGATTCA